CAAAAGTTGTACAAAGATGCAAGCAATATAAAGTATTCTTTCTAGTCTGGAACTTTCTTGATATCTTATCCAGAGTTCACGATGAGTGAGTTAATTTCGAGTTGGTGTAGGTACAATTCACTTAATAGGAGCTAGCTAGCTCTGTAGTTCTCACTGATCACACGCCGATTACAGGTCGAGTTTCTTTTATCGCTGAAGTTATATAATATATTCGTAAAAGTACTAATGTCCGATGTGAATCCACTGAAGTTCAATGATTTGTTATGTTCGAAATTTATAAACATTCCTGTTCAATATATCTGAAGTTCCCGAATAATAAGCGTTAATCACAATTAATATCTTCCGAAGTTTATAGTATACCAACTATAGCAAACCAATAACATATACTTTTTTTGGCGCGTCACGTTGATTATATTTATAGGCGTGTGGAGAGTTTATTGAAATATCAGATTATGTAACAATACAAAGCTACACTGGCGTTTACGTATACACATATATTGTTGATTCTTACACTCGAGAATCTTCTACAACTTGAGACAATAGGCGGAATTTCACAATACATATTTAACAGTATACGTTATGTACATTTCTAAATATAAATTGAATTTAAACAAACATCGATATTAAAATAAATGTATAAGAATAAATCCGTCACAAGGTATATTCGTATATTTTGTTATAAATTTTCGAGTTGGTGATCTGCAAATAGTGATCACATTTTTGTTAGTCACTCATTGGAAGGTCGTGAACAGGTATTGACGGTGGTGTAGGAAAGAGTTGCAAAGCGGGGGTGCTTGGTTAAACATATAATAATATAAGTTACAGTTGCTATATAAGTCAAATGTCTAAAAGTGGTTCTGACGCCTCTGATTAATTCTTTTTTAAATTAAGTAAAAGTTATAAAGGATATTGTATACAAGCTTGTATCAGTTTAGTTTTGTGTCTTTGGCCACTCCTTGAGATTAAGATGAAGTCACTTTTAAGGGTTACAATGATAATGTACAGTTTGTTATAAGTTAAGGATTTTCTTCCCTGTATATGTTATCTGGAACAGCCAGTGAAGTGTGCAGTCTTGGATTATGGTACATTGAATTTCCAACCATTGTTTGATTTGAAAGTGCGGTATAAAAATGTCTATTTTTATTTATGTCCTGTACAGCTGTGTTTTAAAAGGTCTTTCTCCAACCTCATTAGCCAAAATAAGTCACAAAGGAAGTTGTTAATTTGTGTTTCTTTTGGTGAACCAGAAGTTAAGATGGGGCAGAAAATTCCGGAGCAAGGTTCTGCCTCTTGAGAATTTACACCATTAGCATTCCTAGTATTTTGATTGGAATGTCGATGTGAATATCATAAAAAGAAAGTTCCACCTCTTTCAAAGTCCTAATTTACCCACTGTGTTGAATGTTTTCGAAATTATTCTTTGAAGTGCATTTCCGGAATCTGGGTTCTTTCGAATGTCTTAGACTTATATGTTGGACAGCAGTGTACCTAAAGATGACGCTAGAAGCTCTTGAATTTTTATAAAATGAGAATGCAATGATATGTGACTTGTTACTGGAAGGTACTTTAGCTTTATAGTACACTTAGTAACAGCGTCAAACCGTTTTTTTTTTAGGGTTATCCCCCTGCCATCCCCTCAATCACACAATTGACGTTCCTGTTTAGTATTGCCCCGTGGTCAGATCTAGGCTGATTGACAAATACATTTGGGAAGCTAGACAAACACCTATATTATTTAGCTATTTTATTCGAATAATAGTAACTATTTGTTGTGCTACACCCGTTAGTTGTTTCATATTCGTTAATTTGTGATCTACACGGTCTAACTGTGAGACAGAAATGTAAAATTTAAAAAAGAGTAGGAAAAATATTTTCAAAAACAAGTTATTGAAACGTTAAAGAAATACAACGTATTGATGAACAAATATTCTTACATTTACAAAAAATAATCAACAGAAATGAGATAATTTTGGTGCTTACGAAAACTTTAAAAATGTATTAAATGTTATAGTATATTATCCGTTTGCTTGCACAATAAGTAACGTACCACAAGTCTTACACGTTTCCTGTGTCAACATCCGGTAATATCGTGTGCTTCTCTGAGAAATCGGAAATTGGGTACGGTTCTGTGAAAACGGTAATCATGGTAGTCGAATATAAAATTAGGAGTTGCAAGGACACTTCAAAGCATTCGCTTAGCGAAAGAAATGAACTAGTCGTCTGGCCCTTTGTTTAATATGATAGGTATTGGACCAGTGTCATTTAGAAGTTCTTTATTGTTCCAGATTAATGGTATATATAGATAGAAACCTACTTGACCCTATTTTAATTTAAGTTACTGGAAATGAAATGAAACATTTGAAACTGATTTGGCAAGTTGCCAACAATGCATCTGTGTAGTATAATTTGTTTGCAAACCATCAAGTAGACTACATAGTACATGATCAGTTTTTTTGTTGTTGTTTCTTTTGCGTAGTGATTAGGCGTAACTATTCAATAGCAATCACAAATTTAAGAAAATACTAATTCTAACTTCAGGCTTAGAGCTTATTTTTATGCTACATTTTCTATGATGGCATGTATAGAAAAAGACGTAGCTCTCAAAACTGGGTTTTTGTGTATTGCCCCACAACGACAAGGAATTTTAAAGGTGAGAACTTAAAAAAAGTTAAAAACTCAGGAAAATCTTTCTTATGTAAAGTTATATTTAAATGAATCATTGAATGCTACTGCTAAATAGTTACAACTCAAATATCTCATTATGTATGATAATATTAGTAGTTTGTTAATATTATACCACAATATATTTACTAGGATGTTTTAGCACTACACAATTTAATCATTATATTCTGACTTCACAAATGCTCTTAACAGTGTATTGTGATTTGAGTGACAACTTAAATGTCCTATACTTTTTATTTTTATTTTAGTCATTGCGTGTATTAAGATAATTATAGACTCATTTTTCTTAATATGTGGAATTTTTGTGTATGTAGTTCTAATTGTGGTAAATAGTTCCTTAACATTTTAACACAGGATTATTCTGTCTGGAGAAATACATGATGCTTTGCATATAAAAACCACACAAAATCTAGACATCATCAAGGTTGAGACAGATGACCTTAGCTACTCCACAAGGAACACAAAGAAAACAAAATATTTACTGAAGTCATTGACATTATATGCATATGAAAATATTAGTTAGCATAAAGACCTCATACTTATCAGGGAATTTGATATATATGAAATATGCCAATAATAAAACTCATCATACAGTTTGATGTGATTTTTATCACACAAGTATTGGTCCTATTGATCTTATTATTTTGCAAGCTATTGGCATTTAACACTGTAACACGAGCTTTAACTGTTGATGATACTTATGCATATAATTCAGAATGAACAAAAATCATATCCAAAATATAAGTGAATTGTTTACAGAATACACTTTTTTTTAAAGAAACAAAAAGATTTGTTTTTAGCATTAATATTAATAGACAGGGTTGCAGAGTATAAGATGAAAACTTGTAAACTTTGGCAAAGGTTTGTCTATCAGTCTGAAACTTAGGGACAAAATACATCTTTCAACAAATAATAAACAGGCAAGTAAAGGCCTGGCAAAATGTTTCCATTTTTGTTTTTCATATTTCATTTAGAAGTTTACTTGGCATTGCTGTTCAAAATTTTCAGTGTTATATTTTACTTTTAGTGCAACATTGAAAAAAAAGATAATTTAATGTTTTTATTAAATCATACTTGCAGACATGTATAGTAAAATGTGTAACCATTTTTGTGAAACATTTTATAGAAATCTTGGAGTAAGCGGTATATTGCTCTTTATCAAACCAGCATAAATGGCATCCGGAGACTTGAAATTTTTGATAGAGAAAATAATTTTTTGCGTCAAACACCTAGCAAAATCATTCCCCTCACTGACTGTATTAAGGTCATGCCAGCTTCTCAGAAACAGCAGGCTAATGTATTTGAGGTAAGAATGAGTTTAGGTGGCTTAAGTAATTATAATAATTGTATAAAAATTTATATGCTTACTTGTACTGATGCTTTTTGATGTAAGTAATATTTTTATTACTTAATGAGGTTATATTTACATAGAGTGTCTTGATATTTTTAAAGTTATTTGAACATTGGATCACTTACAAACCCTTCAAGAAATATTTGACATAATATTGTGACAAATTTTGAAGTCATTGTTTAATAAAAGCCCAAGTTCAATATACAAAAGTTCATAAACTCATCATAGGTAACTTTTACTTCTGTATATAATCGGGCATCTGGCTCCAACGTTTGATGTGAACAAAGTGAAAAATTGCATCTTAAGAAAATCGTTATTTTCAATTTATAATTTTCATAAGTTTTGAAATGTTACAAACTTTCAAGTTTAAGTCTAAAGTTATTTGATAGAAATTACATCTGTATGTGCTCTATTTACAGTAGGGTATATAAAATCCTATCGGTAGCATACAGTAATGTATAATAATGAAACATACCCTTACCTTGTACATTTCTCAAAAATATGATAACAAATGAAAAATTCAAACCTTACTGTAATGTTTACTTGATTAATTAAGTCCTTTGAAGATGTTACACACTAGATAATTGTATTTGTCCTTGTGGAATTCAAAAAATATATCCTAATACCAAAATAGTGCATAATTTGGTAATTTTGACTTTCACATATTATATTTAAAATATTACCTCAAATAAACTACAATAATATTCATCTGTTATTTTATGTTTTATGTTACATTGTACTGTAAAAGGATTAAATCAAAGAATGTTGTAAACAGTCTCTATCAGTGGCTTGTTCCATAAATTACTAAACTCTTCCTAAATACTTCATAATGTTTAGATTCTGGTTTCTTATGAGTAAGTGTTTAAATGTAATTGTATTTCTGTGACATATTTTTGCTTATGCAAATATGTTCACTAATTAATCAAGCAAAACTAAAAATTAGAAGTAATTGATGTGTTAATTGGATGCTTATTTGGCTTTTGAGGTAATTTTTGGATGTCTTCAACTAAAATAAAATTAAAATAAGATCTTCATCTTCAACTAGTTTTACCCTCTTTATAAGCGAATTAGAAAAAATTCCTGTTTTTGTAGTGTAAGGTACGGACTGATCTGGTTGTTTTTCTTAACTGGTTTATTAGAAAAATTAAGCAACAATATAGTTATGGAAGACAAGGTTGATATTGTTTAATCAGTTAAACTTGTTATTATTTTATCTTTGTAAAATGTATTGCACTTGAAAAGACGAGTGTGTGGAATTTTCAAACATATAAATTTCCTTCAGAGTAGTCACTTAGGGCCCACTAACTGGAAATTCAAATGGTATCGAGTTTTTGAGTGTCTGTCTGTTTATCTCTCCAATCAACTGTAGAAGGTGCATAAGAATAATCTTTATCTATACTGCACAAACATAACCACAATTGTTAACACAAAACAAAACAGGGGAAAGTGGGTCTGTGGTACGTTGGAAAGGAGGGAACTAAAAGTTGTGTGGACTCTCTCCCACCAGTCCAGTATGTATTCCTCTAAGTTAAACTAAAGCAAAGTTACATGATAAAACTAAACCCAGAGTTAAAATACAAAACAAAAACAAAGATACATATGTTACTAAATGTTAAAGTAAAGCTTAGTAAAATTTAAATGTGAACAAAAAATATCTGAATAAAGTAAAATCTGCTGAGCAGAGGAGAACCAGGATTTTAATAAAAAACACGATAACTACTTAAGCCATGTTTTGCATTGAAACATTACTCTACACACGATCTCTATCCACGTGTGCTCAGTTGTACTAAATTATTGCTTTAAAACATTAAAAAAAATGTATTGGAAAAGTAAGTTTTGAATTGACTTTTTTTTCCTATTAATGGTAATTGTAGATATGAAAAGCATTTTTTTATAATGATGATTTTATTGACACTTTTGGAAAGTTTGAATGTAGATATACAAAAGCATTAAGATACATATACTTATCTACAAACATTTTTCAATGTAGATTTTTATCTTGAATCTGGAGGTAGAAGTTTAACATAAACATGGTATATGACAAAATATCTTGATAACATTCTTTGCTGAAAGCATGATTTAAAGACTAGGTACCAAAGTTCTATTTTAATCACAGTATGTCACAAAAGCTCAAAAACAGTTTATTTGTAGTATTACAGCATGGTTGATAAATCAAGTTTTGTTGAAATTATTGTATTTCACGAGTGTATATAGAAATAGTGTAGTATACTAAAAGAAAAACACAGATGATGCTATTTTCAATATTACTAATTTCAAATAGTTGATGTCCATCTCTTTCCCATTGTACAAATTAAGATGTTGACTTAATTTCACATGAGGCATGTTGAGTACATTGAACTCTGTAAAAATTCACATCTTCTCCCCAGAACAGAACTCATTGTGAATGTAATTTTTGTTAACTTAGATACTTATCAGGTTTTACAAAGTTTCATCTACTAGTAATTAATTCAGTTGTTAAAAACATCTGATATTGATGCAACTAAAAATGAAAGAAATGTGAATAATTTCAACAGGAGACATTTACATTTAAATAATTTCAAATATCGGTCCCATTTATCTAATGAAACTGGAACTGTCACAAGTTATTTTTTTTCTGTTTCATTAAATGTATAGAAATTACACCAAGTGTTCATTGTCTTGTATATATTATCCATTACTAAAATTTTTATTACTGGTAAAAATATTCACAATTATGAATGCACAAACTGATTAAATGTAATGATAACTGAGAAAATTTTGTTATAACACTTTATATTTTAAGATAGTTTTCAACAGGAATACTGACAGTATTGTACACAGTATAGAATTTTAAAACCTGATTAGGCTTTTCAATAAAACATTTACGAAGAGGGTCACAATGGAAAACAAACACAAAACTAATTTAAAACTGTGTTAAGAAACTAAGATCTTAACATCAAGCTAGGAACTCTCAAGCTATATGACATATGATAGTGAAAATATGTTATTCTTAGCTATGTGTCTGTGTATGATGTACAATACTTCTAATGACATTGTTGTGTGTACTTAGTCTCATGTTGTAGGTATCTTTCTTTTTTTTTTTTTTATTAAAATCCATGGATATTAAAATTCATGTCACCTTTGCCTGTATATTATTACCATCAGTAAAAACTTGCATGTAAACCTAAACATTTAAAAGCAGTTTGAAAAGTATAATTTTTTTGTTTATTCAATAATGTTTGATATTTCCTGCATCTAAGTCCAACAACTTGGGTAGAAACAAAAGATGTTTCTCCCAAACCAGACATAACATTTTACAGTAAAATAATTGTGGCTATCTTTGAGCTCAGAGAACATTCAGATATGCTTACATTAGAGGTTAAAACTTTTAATTGTTGCACTTAGAAATTTGCTCAGCAGAAAAACCAGATTATCTACCAAACTGTGGTTATACCTTACAAGTCTTGAATATGTCATTTCTTGTTCAGAATATATTTATAGGGAATAACTAAAAGTAAACATACTTTTGAAAATGTAAAATGTTGAGTGTCTGAGAATTAAATACTACATATTTCTAAATCTGTTTCTAATAATGTAAGTTCTGTCAGTGAGCATCTCAAATTTTGTAATATATTGCTTTATAATAGAAAAGAGAGATAATTACAGAATTATTCAACTATCAGACACTTATATCACAACTAGCACAGTAATGAGTTATGTATGAATATACCCATCTTTCTTTCTTCTTATATTATAGTAGAATTGATTCAGGATATATCATTTATTGTGTATATCTGCAGGTTTCACATAACACATTGTAAGAATTTATAATGTGATTCTTTGTCAATTGTCAGAATAAAATGTATTTCAGTTATATTTCTTAATAGTATAAATATACACTGTTGTTGTTTGGCTTAGGATTCTTCTACAGTAGGTGTCTGTGACTT